GACTTTGCAAGGCCACCACTTGATCTTCTGTTAACACGTTCTCTAAGCTTTAAAAGGTGGATGTTTAGGCCTCTTCTTATGCCAGATACAAGCTTAAGGTCCTTCAGATGACAATTTGAGCTGTAACCAGTCCTCAGGTATGTTGCCTTGTGGGCCTGTTACAGTTTTCTGTTAGTGCCCATCCCTCACACTACTTTTGAATGTCCCAACAGTGTCTGAACTCCTGTGTTCCTCAGGGTCTATTCACACCACAACCATATAATCTCCAGACAAGACTGTTTCCGGACCCAAAATGCATCCTAATGTATCCCTATGCTAGTTCTGGACTTTGTTCACACCAGCACAGTCTGTTCCAGACCAGAAAAATACTGCATGTCTCATTTTGTCTGGTCTGGAATGCACTGGAACTGAGGGCAGGTTCACACCAGTTTCTGGATCAGATCTGGACCAGAAAAATGGTGTGAACCTGCCCTTAAATGAAAAAAACAAAATGGGATTTTTGTACTTACCGTAAAATCCATTTCTTGCAATTCATTAAAGGAAACAGATCTTACCCTTCTGTGTCTATGATCATGATCTTGGTACAACTTTTCTACCAAACTGAGGAATGCTATGCAGCAGTATAACCTAATAGTCTCTGAACTCCTGTGTCCCTCAATGAATGAGAAAAAAAATGGGATTTTTGTACTTATTGTAAAATCAATTTCTTGGAATGTATTAAAGGACACAGGTCCCACCCTTCTGTGCCTATGATTATGATCTTGGTACTGCTTCTCTACCAAACTGAGGCTTGCTAGGTGGCAGTACAACCTAACAGTCACAGAATTCCTGACTCTCTAAATGAAACCCACAAAATAGATTTTACGGTAAGGTCAAATCCCATTGTTTTTATATCTTACCAGCAAAATCCTCAATGTCTCTTGTCATTGTATCAGTAATTCATGAAGCAGGATCACAAGTGTACCTTTTAATTCAGATTACCTTAGCAGGTTCATTTTGAAAGCATGTTCGTGTTAGGTATAGGCTAATTGCAGTGGCATTTGTTTATTGACTTGCTGAAAAGACACATGAACAAATAAAGTCTGATTCCATGCAGGGTTACAAGATCATTTAACAAAAGTCAATCCTATGAACATCTTATGACTTGCTTGTACAATCCATACACTCCAATTAACATTCAGAGAGGTCATTCCTGCCTTCGCAGAGATGAAGTCACCGAAGAACAACGTTAATTGTAGTCTTGTTTCTCTGTCAGTCCAATGAATGAGAGAGAAAAATATGCATACAGGTGTGCAGAGCCATATGCGCATCTCCTAAATGCAGGCAGTCTGCATGCAGAAGTGTGCAAATGGCTCTGCTGTAGCCACATGAGCTCATGTATACCCATGCACAGTTGCAACCTGTCATTGCTTCAGACAAGCTGGACACTGGTGTATGCTGCACCTGTGACTCCCAAGAATAAAAACACTGCAATATAAGCATATGTCTCTTTGCGGCCGTGTGCATGAGCCCTAAGGCTATCTGCATGGTCAGATACAACACACCCTCCCACATCACTGTCTGACCACACAGCTAGCAAGGAGATGAATAATTTATTATTCTAGGTACTTATATAGCGCCGATAATTTACACAGTGTTTCACATAGTGCACATCAGTCCCTGCCCTCAAGGAGCTTACAATCCAATGTCCCTATCTCATATGCATACAAGGGGCAATTTAGACAGGAGCCCATTAACCTACCAGCATGTTTTTGAAGTGTGGGAGAAAACCCGAGTATCCAGAGGAAACCCACAGTAGCACAGGAAGAACATGCCAACTCCTTGCAGATAGTGACACTGGCCAAGATTCAAACCAAGGACCCTCAGTGCTGCAAGGCAGCAGTTCAGTTCAGGTTCTGGCAAGTATACAGTCATGGCCAAACATATTGGCACCCCTGCATTTTTGTCTCATTCCACGCAAAACTCCAAAAATGGACTGAACAAAATTATTCCTCTCCAAATTGCAAGAAATAATTGCATTCCAAGTTTTTGTGGAAAAGCATGGACAATCCCACGGTTACAAGTCCATCTCCAGCGATCTTAATGTTCCTGTGTCCACCGTGCGCAACATTGGTCAAGAAGGTTACAGCCCATGGCACTGGAGCTGATCTCCCCGGACGTGGACGAAAAAGAACAAATTGATCAAAGATTGCAACAAAGGATTGTTCAAATGGTGGATAAAGACCCTCAATCAACTTCCAGACAAATTCAAGCTGACCTTCAGGCACAGGGTACAACTGTGTCAGCTTGCACTATCTGAATGAAAAGCGACGCTATGCTAGGAGACCTAGGTGGACCCCACTGCGGACACAGAAACATAAAGCCAGATTGGAGTTTTACCAAAACTTACCTGAAGAAGCCAAAATCCCTTTGAGAGAATGTGCTGTGGACAGACGAAACAACATGACAGCTTTTTGGTAAAGACCATCATTCTACTGATTTCTGAAAAAGAAAGAGGCCTTTAAAGAAAAAAAATACAGTCCCTACAGTCACACATGGTGGAGCTTCACTGATGTTTTGATGTTGCTTTGCTGCTTCAGGCACTGGATGTCTTGACTGTGTGCAACGCATTATGAAATCTGAAGACTACCAACGGATTCTGGGGTGCAATGTAGGCCCAGTGTCAGAAAGTTGGGTCTCTGTCAGAGGTCATGGATCTTACAGCAGGACAATGACCCAAAGCACACGTCAAAAAGCACCCAGAAATGTTTCAGACAAAGCGCTGGAGAGTGCTGGACTGGCCAGCATTGAGTCCAGATCTGAATCCCATAGCGCACCTGTGGAGAGATCTCAAAACAGCGGTTGTGGAAAGGAACCCTTCCAATCTGAGAGACCTGGAGTAGTTGGCAAAGAAGGGTGGTCCAAAATTCCTATAAAGAGGTGTAAGAAATTCATTGATGGTTGCAGGAAGAGATTGATTTCAGTTATTTTTTTCCAATGGCTGGGCTACCAAATATTAATTGAGGGTGCCAATAATTTTGCAAAGTCAATTTTTGGAGTTTTGTGTGGAATGTCTCAGATTTGGCATTTTTTTCTCAACCTTTTTGTGTCATGCCAATACAAACAAAAGAAATAAACACGAGAATGCTGAAACATTTGTAATTGCAACAATTTTCTGTGCCTAGTGGTGCATTATCTGACAGAAATGCAGGGGTGCCAATATTTTTGGCCATGAATGTATCTGCTTTATTCACGCCCCTAGACCAAAACGAGCACCTAACCCTTGCAGTCCAAGTGTCCCACTCTTGAAGTCTTGTACATACCTGCATTTGCTGCTTGTTCCCATGATCTTCCATGGCTCTGTGGACAGCAGCTCCTGTAGTACAGCCCACATTTATGTTAATGCAGCTTAGCATGACATGAACATTAAAGTGTATTTCCACTTTTGCAGTCCAACTGGGATAACGCTTATTTTATATTTGTTACATGTTCCCATCCACATAGCATGAGCTAAAAAAAAATATTTAAAATGCCTTTGCAGTTAATAATGTTAGGATGGGCTGCAAGGGGTGAAAGGATTACAACCCTGGCTTCTATAGTCAATTGTTAATAAACTTAATGAGAGAAACACAATCCTCAAATTCTATAAGGACAAATCACTGTGAATGTGCTGAGAGAAAAACATCTAAAAAAAGAAATAATTTTGTTAATTATTTTTCTGTATGCTGTGTGAATTGGAACACAAAACATAGAGAGGGGTTTTCTTAAAGGAGAACTATGGGGTTAGGGCTTTTCCTCATAGTTCTCCTTAGGGTAACAGGAGGACACAAACTAGCGTCCTCGTGTCACCCTATGCTCAGTATACCGCAAGCTGTAGCTTGCGGTATACTGAGACGCCGCAGCTGAAGAAGATCCCGACAATTATGTCTGGATCCGCCCAGCTGTTTGACTGACAGCTGGCTCTGGCTATCTAGAGGCAGAGCCAGCTGTACCCACCCCCTCCCCCATCCGTTCCGCCAGTCAGCGCTGGCAGATCGGAGCGGGGAGAGGGGAATCCAGCCCCTCCCCCTGTCACGGCAGAGAGCCGTGACAGGATCGAGAGGTGAGTGAACCCGGTATGTGTTCGCTCACCTCCCGATCTACTGAGCCGACCTGTGACAGTCTCATTGTCACAGGTCGGTTAGAACTATGAGGTGAGTGAAAAGCACTCACCTCATAGTTCTCCTTTAAATCTGACTGCAAAAGTGGAAATCTACTTTATGCTGGCCATACACATACAGGGTTATTCACAAAAGGGTGAAGAGTTTGGAGAAGGTAGGAGAAGTGAACAATCTAGGACAACATAGATGAACTGGAAAGTGAGCTGAATTGGAGAATTTTTCCAGTTCAGCGATGTTGTCCTAGATTGTTCACTTCTCCTGCCTCCTCCAAACTCTTCACCCTTTTGTGATTAGCCCTGCTAGATTTTCGTACAAAAGTTCATACGAAAAACCTCAAAAGAACATTCGATAATGCCATCATAGACTTGACCGATATTATTAGTTTATTGTTGGATGTTAACATTCGATTTTGTTATAAACGGAGAAGTTTCTGGAATAAAAACCACATTTCAACTGTTACTACAGTTGAAAACAAATCGCCGATTTCACCCCATTAACTATTCAAAAATCAAACGAACGTCCGGAAAAATTATTTTTTGGAACAGACTTCTACTGGTGTATAGCCAGCTTTAGTCTTCACTGACCACTTGTGCATATTCAGCCCAATTCGCCTTGTTTGTCCTGGCCAACAGGAACATGTAAAGTTAGGCTCTCTATCACTTCTAATTGCACCTTACATCCAATTGTGCTGTCCTCATTGCCAAAAAACCATCACCTAGTTCCATAGAACGGACGGATTTATGGCACTACCCAGTCACCAGAATCAATCATGTAAAAGACCAAAGCTATTCCTGCGGTATATCCAGGAGTGCTGCCATCCATACGCCTGCTTGTAACAAAAGGCAGTTCATGTACAGAATTTTATTTGCCTTTTTCGTCTTCTGTGTCGCTTTTCTCTGTGTCACCTATTACCTCTGATATCGGTCTGTAGACGATCTTGTCCAACTTGGTTTCTTTACGAAAAGCTGCCCATATTAGAACAGCCGTAAATAACAAACTGATTGGCAGAACTTTCCACAAGGGCCGCTGGTGCTCACTACCCAAGGATTTCTCAACAGTCCACTGGCGATGGCTTGCTTTACTCGTAGAGAACATGAAAGGCTTAGAGTTTTCCTCCTCTTTGTGGTCCGGGTGCTTCTTCAGATGAACCATTCGAGCACTGCAGGCAGCAACAAATGACTGCTTCAACCTGCAATAGAAATATATTTTTAGTGTCATTCTGTTATTCAGTATTTAGAAAACATCAAAGCTTTGGAAGAGCTTATCCAATAAGCATAGACTAGCCCAAGCATGCAACAAGTTATCCATGATGGGTTGTAAACATACCAAAATAAATAACCGATATAGGTCCTGATGGAATATGTACAATAAACAGTAACAGTTTATTTAAATTGAATGCACAACTAGAACTTTTTTTGTTTTGGATAGAGTAGTTTTAGCAGTAAAAACGTATCTGGGGCTCAGTTAGGCCCCTTTCACACGCACTGATCGGAGCCGTACAGATGGGGTGCCACCGTTGTGACGTCTGACCGTCCAGTTTCCCCTCCAACTGAAATGACCGGACCGCACATCGGTCTATGGGGAATTGGATGTTAGTGGACATGTGAAAGAATCCAAACGTGCCTTAAATTGTTCTCAATTTGATTAAAAGAGATCTATGGGGTAAGTGTTTTCCCCCATAGTTCTTTTTAGGGTCACGGAAGGACATACATTAACCTCATCCCGTGACCCAAAGCTCAGTATATAGTGGCCCGAGATATACTGAGAGCGCCGCATACTGTTGTGATTCAACCAGCTGCGTGAGTGACAGCTGGCTCTGCCTATCTAGATGCAGAGCCAGCTGTGCCCGCCACCTCCCTCGTCCGTTCCGCCACTCAGCGCTGGAGGATCGGAGAGGAATCCCTGCTGGCAGTCACTGCAGGGAGATGATTGGGAAGTGAGCAGATCGGCGGCATGTTTCTGCTCGCTTCCCAATCAATAGAGCCGACCTGTGACAGCTTCTTTATCACAGGTCGGCTCTAACTATGAGGAGGAGTGGAAATCACTCACCTCATAGTTGTCCTTTGAGGGGAAAAAAAACAGTAAATGTGTTTCAGGGCAACAACACTCTCCCTTCATCAGGGCTTAGGAGAGGATAAGGTTTTAATTGGACTCAAGATACTATAACCAAATGGACCTCTACAAGATTTGATAAAGGGGTCTCCTTTAGGGCTGGAATTGGCTCCAGCATCTTGAGTTCAATCAAAATCTTATTTGTTTTCCCTGAAATACGTTAGTTGTTTTTTGCCTAAATCAATATATGAACAATTAAAGGCATGTTTGGATTCTAACAACTTTTGGTTTGGCGCCCTTTATTTCTGAACATTGACGCTCTTGTGATACAGCAGTCTTTTATGACATGACCTCCTTCTCTTGAAATACCGGCGGTACATGTGGTTCTAGATAAAAGTTGTAGTCATCGCCTGGATGATGCTCAATATTAATAGACCTGAGCAAGTATCCAATGCAGGGTGGCAGTGGTAGTGCATGAAATGCTTTGGGAAGTACAAAAATAGGAGTGCAGTAATTGTCAGGATCTGCCCTTGTCCATTCACATAACCCTCTTGCGTTCTGTGAAAAGAATACAAGACTTTTTGTGAATGAAGCAGGGGAGGCGAAGGGGCAGGGGAATGATAGGAACCTTCACTGTATGAGAAGCTGAACTGTCAGTCACAGCACCAGAAGAAGAGCGCTGTGTGTAGTGTCCGGGATGAATCAAACTAAGACTTATACAGGAACCAGCAGTGATCCGGACATAGGATAGTCTTCATTTTTTAAAATACTTTTACATATTTAAAAAATACTTTGCTGCATAGAGCAGCCCTGGGTGTCAAATATGCAACAATCCCATTTGTATATCTTACCTTCCTGTTCACTGTAAGGTACTCCCATCTGCAGAATTACTTGCAGGGGTTTCCTGAGACCTGGGAGTTATTTAAAGGGTTCCTCCGTGTTAAAATGGTTGAGGAAGACTGCACTAGGTAGTGAAGACACATGTGCAAATTTGCTCCGCAAAGGACCAGGAAATGCTGGGGCTCAACTGACTGGCTCAGCAGGGGGGGTTTCAGTGACAGGTTTGTGTGGACTTTGGCAAAGCCGGTGTTCACCAAGCCCCCCGCACAACACTGTTTCCATCCTTTCCAGTTCATTGTAACACACCTGACATTAGTACTTGGTTAATGTCCTCTGTGCGCATGCTCAATAGACCAACATTTACAAAGCTCAGCTGATATTACATAAAACTCCATCAGGAAAGTCCTGGCTTCTTTCAGCATGACCCCTCACCAGAAATAACCCATTCCATGCAATGACGTTTACCTCTCTGCTGATATTCTACACAAAGCCCCCTTCATCTTCCTTCTCTTCGGTTAGCCTGCTCCAACCTACGGCTTCCCTTCATTACACAAGACAACCGTCAGCCTCCACTCACACACATGCCACTGAAGGTCGCAGGAAGCGGAAGTGACTTTCAGAGCAACATTCCCCTTGTAGGCGCCATATTAAGTCCTGGCAAAGTCACTGGCAAACGCTGCATAACATTTACTTGAGATCTCACTCTTGTAAAACATAATGAAATGTGGACCTTTTCATTAAAATAGAAGTTGGTTAATATTTCCTGTATGTTTGAGTTTCCGTCCTTTTACCTGGCAACAAAAGCAGTACCATGGGCAGCGGACAGGTGCTAGGGGGCCCTCTAGTGGTCATAAGTGGCACACTGCAATGACATGTTTTTATATTGCTGCTATCATACAGGAAACAGTATAAAATATCAGGAGATTGCTTGTCATCCATTACTTAATCTATTCATTCAACTTCTATTTAAAGGATATTCTGAGAATTCAACTATTAGATATGATCATTATCAGGAATTAGATTTTTTTTAAAATTAACCCTTGCAGCAGGGCTACCCCCGCACTGCAAGGGTTATGTGGTCGTTTTGGCCTCGAGGCTAAAATCAAGAAGAAATACTCCCCCCATCCTCATTCCCACCTGGCTGTTAGTCCAGCCCCTATAGTCTCTTCTCCACTGGGCTCTGGTGGTCTAAGGACCCGTGATGTCATCATGTCTAGTATATCTAGAGATATCTTCTTTATTTCTGCTCCTAGACCAAGATGAGTGCTTACACCTTGAAGTTAGGGTTGCCACCTGTCCAGGATTCACCCGGACAGTTCGGGTTTTGAATGCTCTGTCCGGGTTTCATGGCAGCAGAAACCCGGACACAAGATGTCAGGCAGACAGGAGCAACCAAAATTAAGATAGGGGCTACTAGAGTGTTCGGGTTTCGCTTGAAGAAAAGGTGGCAACCCTACTTGAAGTGCGGAGGTAGCCCCACTACAAGGGATCAGTTTAATAAATCCTGGAGTTCTTCTTTAACACTAGAACTGCATTACATTATTTTTTTCAGAAAAGAAATGTCATGTTTATGGACACTTATGACGGTATATTTCATTCCATTTATTGGATTATCACTTTAGAATAGGGAACAATGTTTCTTTCTGACCAGGGTAAATGGTCGCTTGTTTTAAAGTCTCTATAAACCCAAAACCAAATAAGTAACATGTTACAGTTCAGCATTCTTGTGTCATGGCTGCTTTCATTTTCTTTTTTCAGGCTTTTATCCTTTTATTTTCACCTGGTGATCCCGCCATTAACACTCTTCCTGTCTGTTATTAGACTTGTAAGCTGCGGAAAAATTTGGTTCGGATATTTCATTATTTCGGGATTCAGGTTTCGGATGCGTAATTCAATTCGGGTTTTGGATTCTGACGAATTTCGAATTGTCGTTAGTTTTGGATGAGTTTACGAATATTTGTTGCGTATACCACAGAAAACCATATACAGATATTAATACTAAAGCTAAATCTCCTAGACAGAGCCGCAGCTAGCTCCTTTTGCGCCCGAGGCAAGAATAGAAAATTGTGCCCCCCCCACAGACGTGTGATGTCAATTGACGACGCACAAGCGCTGCATCATGTGATGTCATGTGGCCCACCTCCAGGTGCACCTGAGGCGAGTGCCTCACTCGCCCCATGGTAGCTACAGCTCTGCTCCTAGACCCGAATGGCATTTGGGATCCGAATTTCTGAATTGCATTCAGAGCTCCCGAATGCCATTTGGGTCTGGGAGCCATATACATACATTACTAAAGCTGAGGCTCCCAGATCCGAATGGCATTTGGGAGCTCCCGAATGCAAATCGGAAATTCAGATCCCAAATGCCATTCGGGTCTAGGAGCTTCAGCTTTAGTATTATATGTATATGCTGTACATGGCTCCCATGTTGCTGTATGGAAAATTTGTGCTCAGACCCATTTGGATGCATCAAACCGAAAAACATCTGATAGGCCAGAAAAGTCAAATGTCCGATCAGTTTAGTTTTTGAACAAAATTCAGAATGGATCCGAAATTTGGAAAAGGAAATTCGGACACATTTGGATGCATTGGGATTCAGAAATTCGAATGTGTCCAAATTTTGATTCGGAACAAAACGAAGTGCACATGTCTATCTGTTATACTCTTCCTGTCATACGGTGACAACATTCAGGAAACAGAGGGACAGAGGGATTAGGTTCCAAATGAGGGACAGTTCCTCCAAACCAGGGACAGGTGGGAGGTATGGCAGTGCCCCTCCTGCGGGTGTTCACAGATCATCTCTGCAATGGATGAAGCTGAAAGCGACAAGCATTTTGTCACTTCTGGGTTCTGAGCCGGACCGGGGAAGTTGCATGATCAAGTCTGTTTCATCAGCTTCATTGGGGTCCACATGTGACATTAGGGGTCTGATAGAAAATAATTCACAGTTAACTCCAAATGGAAGGCTTTTAAAGCGTTGTCTATGGGCAGTTTTGGGTACCAAAGTTTGTCACCATTCCACAGGTGTGCACAATTTTGATGCTTGACATGTTTGGTATCTATTTACTCGACACAACCCCTCATCTTTTAGATTTTACCAAATAATCGGGCAATATATTGGGAAGAATTTATCAAAACTGGAGCATACTCAATCTGGAGCAGTTGCCCATAGCAACCAATCAGCTTCTCTCTTCAGTTTGTTCAGTCACGATTTGAAAATGAAAGAGAGAAGCTGATTGGTTGACATGTACAGCTGCTCCAGATTATGTCTGCTCCAGTTTTGATAAATTCCCCCCAGTGTGTTTATGTGCACTAAACTTTAATTTTAGTGTTTTTTTTACTGACAATTTTAGTTTGATGCGTTTGCCCACCTCTGGGTGAATCGATTCACACAATAACCTGTATGATTACACTGTTCCTATAGATAGAATGGTAATAGATGGAGTGTCCACTAGGGGGAGACAAAATACACAATGTAGGCACAACAGCGTTTTCTTTATCAGATTATTTATTGCATTATACATATATGTCTCCGCTATTTCCTTCCTGAGACTTACTACGAAAAAAGGTAGAAAGAGAAAAATGTAATTTGCGCCTCATCACTGACACACTATGATTTTCTAATGTCCAATGAAAGGCGTCATTCGTCGAACTCGAAGTACGCATGCGCCGGGTATCGAGCGCTGTGTGGCTGTGAAGGGGCGTGTCTTAGCAGTGGACGGCGTGCTGAAGGAGGAAGTCAGTGTGTAGTCAGTGAGGCCACGTGAGTTGTAGCCGGGTTCTGGATGACTTTTCTTCTTCTTCTTGTTGTTGTCTAACAGTGATTGTATAAAAGCGGACCTGTCACACTTCTGCGGGATGAGGATGACTGTTCAGTAATGTAGTGCACGGAGCAGTCAGATTGGGCAGTGCGTAGTAACCTATAGCAACAAGTCAGGTGTCAGTGCACAGCAGTGAGCTGAGCTTTTCATACTCATCCTTGCATTGTCGAGGAAATAGGTCCGTGTTTGTTTTGTGAATCATACATGCAGAAAGTTTCAGGTGATTTCCTTTATTGGCTGACTTAGAGCAGAAATAAAAGCGTGCAGCATGCTACCCCTCCCCCATCTATAAAAGTAGATCTTTTTATTTAATTCTGTCTTTTTTTCCCCTAATCTCATGGTCAACCTGACCCCCTGCCTCCATTCATGCTTAGACAGGGTGATATGCAGCCTGGGATACAGATGTGACATTGGTTCCCCATTCATCGGCATCTTCATTCATCTGGCACCACATCATCAGGGGCGGCTGCAACAAACCCGAAGAGACAGCTGACAGGCGATGAAGAAAGGAAGGTAGATGGAGACACAGGACAGTACGTGCAATGGAAGAGGACAACGCAGGATTCAATGGGCTTTGTTGTAACCAGTAATGGGCTTGCTGTGATCCCTGTTCACCTGAGTTCACCCAATCCTACGCAAAATTGTGACTGCCACCCCCTCCTCCTGGCCCAATCAGTTCAGATTCTCTGCACCACAGCTCTATGTCACAAAGAGTTGTGGAATGCCCCTGCCGCCACTGATTGGAATGGGAGGGGGAGTGGTGGTCACAGTTTTGAATGGGCTTGGGGAACTCAGGGAAAACTAGGTTCACACCAAGCACAGGCTCATCTCTAGTGCTGAGTTTGCCTAAGTTTGCGCAAAAATGGTCCCCACCAGCCCAGTCAGGCCCTGGCCCTTTGTGACGGGAAGCTGTACGCTCTGGCCACATCTGGTTAAGCCTGGAGTGGGATGTCAGTCACAGTTTTGCAAGGGCTTGGCCATAGGGCTGCAACAACTAATCGACATAATCGATTATTGAAAAAGTTGTCAACTTTTTCAATAATCGATTAATCGGCTTCCGATCAGTTGGCCCTGTTCACAGCTCCACACGCTGTGCGCCGCACCTCCTCCCCACCTCACGCTCGCCGCTGCCAGACCCGCTCGCATCCACGCTCCACACGCCGCACCTCCTCCCCGCCTCACACTCACCGCCCTCCCACATCCACGATCGGCAAAGGGACGCGGGGAGATGTAGTAAGGAGGAGCAGGTGTGGGGGGATGACAGCCGCCGATAGACAGGCCCGATCTCAGAAGCAAGTTGCTGGAAGACTGCTCAGGTAAGCCTGCACTTTCCCACACATGGTGCTCTATAATGTATTGCTGGGATTTGTATTCCTCTATAGCTGATGGTACATTGTGCTCTATATTATACATATGAATACAAATCCCAGCAATACATTATACACTGTATGTATAATGTACTATTGCTGGGATTTGTTGTACTCCTCTATAGCTGGTGACATTCTGCATTGCGCTGTATAGAGGACTACAAGTCCCAGCAATAATACATTATACAACGCAATGCAGAATACCACCAGCTGTAGAAGAGTACAACAAATCCCAGCAATAATGCATTATAAAGTGGTACAATGCTAAATATCACTAGCTATAGAGGACTACAAAACCCAGCAATAGTACATTATACAGCACAATGCAGAATGCCGCCAACTATTTGCTGGGTTTTGTTG